AAAATGACACTGTAAACACATGTGGTTTCCTGGAACAACATTCTCCAAGTGCTTGTGATTTTCATCTAGGCTCTGGAGTACAGAAAAGTTTGCACACACCCTACCAGATTCTGCCTTCTGGCTGTTGTTTACTGTCAACAGTTTAGCAATTCTGTGATGATACAGGCTTACTCTTGTGTTATAATACATGTCTATACTATACGCCTCAACCCCTTATGATATACCCGGGGCGTTGGTTATAGCCCTGCCCTTCCTCTGACTGTCTCTGTGCTATTAAGCTAGTCACATCATCTCCTATTTGTTTGACAGATTCTGTTACATTGCTGTTATATTAGACACCAGGGCATGCACCCCCACCTCCCAACGCTACACACACACTCACACACGCACACACACAGGCACACACGCGTTATTTTTACTGCTGCCGTATGTCCTGAGTGGAGCAGGCTGCCGGAAGGAGCAGAGCAGGGTCAGAGTTGTTGTTGTTCTGCTGCCTTGATGTGGGTGGAGAGTAAAGGGCTCGGTAGGGAAGAAAGCCTTTGTCTGGCGGAAGAGTGCAAAGCCAGCATGTGGGGTTGAAGTCCAGGCTTGAAGCAGTCCTTTCATAAACAACTGGACCCAATAACAACGCTCGAAAGCATTCTGGCCAAAAATAAACACTCCTTTACGGTAGACTAACACTCATTCCTGAGCATGTGTACAACCAGCAGCTATCCTGTCAATAATAATACATTAATATATAAAATAAGAGCGCCATGTCAAAACATAGCTGAGTGTGCAAAATACTGACATATTGACAAATCTGAACAGTATCCCCGCCGTTTGGAACGAGTCGCATCCAAACCATTCACAGCAGCGATTGCAATATGTAGCCACCTCATCATTAAAACTAACTTATCCATCGTTATGCATCTCGATTTTTCCTTTTCTTCATCGGCCAAGCAGGGCTAGCTTGAACTTCTGCTAGCTTGAACAACCAAGCACAACAGCGCCACCGATGGCTGTAAGAAAAATACTTGGGATGTTCTGAAGAGGCGAGGCTGGGGCTGATTTCTTCTTAGCCCAGACTGTAGACTCATACAGCATATCAGTTAAATCATGTCAAAGGCATACTAGATTTGATTTTGATAAATGTGGATGAGGTGGATTATTTACTCTATTATCATTTTCATGAAAATGCCTTTTGAGGAGAAACTAAAAGTAGATAGACTACGCACACATTGTACATTGTACACACACATTGCAATCAAGGTATAAATTACACAAAATGACAGAACCGTAAGTTTAGTGCTCACTTGTTTGAATGAAAGGGTTACAACTTTTCTGTTTTTCATAGTTGGTATTTGGAGGAAAAACAGCATTATGGACCTTAAACACCTGAAAAAAACTATAAACACTTATACAACAGTTAATTCCAGTCCACTAATTTGATTGGTCGAGCTGCGTTCCAAGAGTGCTTATGAGTGACTATATTTCCTATATCCGCACTGGGACGTTTCACTGTGTGTGTGTATCACTCTGCTTGTCTGTGTTGGCCATGTAAAATTCCACTTCCTATTACAAAACCGTTACTACAGTAGTGTTAGCAACATCATCAGCGGACATGGCAGACGATACTCTGATACTTCAGGAATATAATAATTTTTGGCTTAAAATATGAAAGCTCGTCAGATGAAGATGAAAAGGAAGAAGGGGTGCCAGTTTCACCAGAAGCATCTTTAATGTGAACATACAAATGAATTCTTCAGGATCCATTTCTGCTAACGGAGCAAAAATGAACAGAACATTTGGCCATATTATGTCCGAAATGTCATTTACTCTGTATTAATTTCTTGTTTCTAGAGCTGTTGTATAAAAGCAATATCACACATGCAATCGTGCGGTTATACCGAATATCGGCACGGCTGGGATTAGCTACGGCCCTCGCCCAAGTCAAATCACAAACGTGCCGATATTTATGCGATATTATTTAAATATAAGATTTCAGTCTTCCCATCTAATATCGCCGCTAAGCATCACTGTCAGCTCCCTACAATATGATGATTTTCATCCTTAATGAAAACACAGGCATGAATGAATTGCACTAGAGCTGTCAGAAGGAAAGTTTTGATAAATTTTCATAATACTCACGTTATGCAAAGGAAAAAAAAAATCTGAATGTTTAACATCCTGTTTTCTGTTATATAGGAATAGGGGTCTGTATGACATATGACAACTTTAAATTTAGATTAAGTAAAGAATAGTTAAATAATGCGATATATGATATGCTGTATGATAATGCTAAGTGTGTAAAATCAATTTAAATTACATTTATATATATATTATATATATATATAGATCTTTTGAGGAAAAGAAAGCATTCCCTGCTATCTGTGTCACCCTAAAACTGTGACTTTTCGTAACTTTTTGAAATACTAAAATCATTTGGTTATCGCAAGCCCTTGCAATATGCATATTACGATATTTCCATTTGCAATATTTCGATAATTTCGATATATTGTGCAGCTCTAGTAAAGAATAACATCTGACAGACTGTCCAGTTACGCAAAAATAACCACACCAGGGTGGTGTGATACGGCACGACACAACACGAAACAGAAGCAAATTATTTTCGTATAACTGCACAGTCTGGAGTGTGTTATTTCGCTTAACCGTTAACGGTTTGCCAACAGTTATGATGTTTAATTTATTAATGAACCACAAATCATGCATTTTAACATTTTACAGTTAACATTTCTTTATTGTTGTGGAACGTCCAAGAGACAAGTTAGTTCCTGTTCTCACTTACATGTCTCCTAACAAAAACATCACGACATTAATGATCATACATTTTTCTTTGTTAAACAACACGTTTTTAATCCATTTATTATTAGTCTAAGATTATGTGTAGTGTCCACCATACAAGTCCCTGTGTATGACCTGTTACTATAGAAACAATAACATATTAGAACGAGCGTATTAATATTAACCTATCGTTCATGGTACAGCTGGAACTACTTTATAAACCGTGGTGTTGTACGAAAATATTGTACACCTACTGACCAAACAGATTTGAGAATTCAGCCATGCTGTGGTATTATTTAAAAAAAAAAAAAAAAAACTCTATGCATAAGCTTTGTGTAAAAGTCCAATCATTATATTCTGTGAAAGAGAGAAATTTTCAATGCATCTAAGAATCCAATATTTTTCTCCATCCCCAGTTTATAGCATATCCACCTCAACAACTGGAACAGCTGGCTTTCTCACTAGTGGTGTCAAGTTTATAACAAAATTAATGATGCTGCACGCAGGCGATTATAGTGGGTAAGAAGAGGTAAGGTTCAACACCTCGCTCAGGATTCCAAAAGGTTATCTTAAGTAATGATTTACAGAGGAAACCTCTTTAATGGCTTAATAATTAACTCAGTGAACAGAACAAAATCACTCTTCTAAACAAAATAGTGCTCCATTCCAGGAATTATCATCCAGGAATTGCATTTAAACTCGGATTAGATGTAAATGTCCCAAAACAACACGCTGTACGTGAGCAAAAAGAAGTCAGATGGTGTCAGAGATACTATTTCATCCAGCTCATGCTGATCAGGAATAACTTCCAAATGTGCAGAATTCCAAACTTTGAGTACATCTGCTGTTTCTTGCAGCAGATAGTGGGTTTAAGATATATCCCATCTGCTATCTGTGCAAATCTCTAAACTCTACTGGCTCGACTGCTGCACAAAAACAGCACACTAACAAAAACCCACATGCTCAGCAGTGGAAAACTTGTCAGGCTGGCTGAAAAAAAAAAACCAAACTTTGCTCTAGCTAGAGGAGGGTGGACGAGAAAGCAGGAAGCATAGTGAGCATGCACGCTGTTTGTTTTGGGTGTAGGGGCTGACCGAGAAAGGGAGGATGGGGGTAGGCTACTAGGAGCCTTCGGAAAAAGGAAACTATCCGTCGCTGAAGAAAAAAGAAAAAAAAAAAAAAAACCCCACAACATTTGGCGTTCCACCAATCAGAGAGCTCAGAGCTCTGCACATGCCATATATGGTGCATGCACGCGCACACACACACACACGCGCACACACACACACACGCGCACACACACACGCACACACACACGCACACACACACGCACACACACACGCACACACACACGCACACACACACACACACAGAAAGAGAGAGAGAGAGAGAGAGCTCACAGTCACGGTCACACGCGGTGCAGAGATGCAGAGGGGCCGCCGGGGGCAGACTTCTCTTCTGCATGAGCAGGCTGAATGAAACACTGGGAATGTGTTTGGAGAAACCAAAAAACATTCCCTGCTGAGCAAGTGAAGCCTAACAACCAGGAAAAACAGCCCTTCAAGTCAGACTCGCAGATTGTTTTGGATTAAAGGAATGAATCCAAAACTGATTCTCGAACATTTTGATTGCATATAAATAGTTTCATCATCATTAGGCAAATATAAAAACACCACTTTGATTCTTTACCGTGTAATCATTTAATAATTAGATACTGTATTGGTGAACTCTGGCCTTTGTACATCATTCCGATAAGAAATACACAGCTAAACTGAACTTTCTGACTGGATTATTTCTTTCTCTCAAAATCACGTCTTTCATCACGTCACCCTTCCCGTGATGAAATTATCTTTACATAATCTGAACAATTATCCTGACAGGCAAGCAAATGCCCCGCCCACCTCACGTTTCTAACCTATTCAACTTGTGGAAAACATTATCCATCCATCCATCCATCCATTTACCATACCGCTTATCCTACACAGGGTTGCAGGGAGCCTGGAGCCTACCTCGGGAACTCAGGGGACAAGGCGGGGGACACCCTGGACGGGGTGCCAACCCATCCCGGGACACAATCGCACACACATTCACACACAACAGACAATCTTGAAATGCCGATCAGCCTACAATGCATGTCTTTGCACTGGGGGAGGAAACCAGAGTACCTGGAGGAAACCCCCGAAGCACAGGGAGAAGATGCAAACGCCACACACACAGGGTGGAGGCGGGATTCGAACCCCCAACCCTGGAGATGCGAGACAACAGAACTAACCACTAAGCCACCATACCCCCCGGAAACCATTACTATTATTACTTTGAAATTTTAAAGAGTGGTAAGTTCACGATAGGATAAAAAGCAATCACTTTTATCATCATATAAACATCTATACAGAGTGCGTAAGTGCTTTTCTGTGTTTTGATGATGTGATGGTGCAAGAGCAGAAATAAACGACAGTTGGATGGCCGGTATGTGATAAACTAAATTGTTTGGGCTAAATGTCTATTTCACTTTGTCACATAGCTATGCAACAACCTGCTCAAAGCCTGACACTCAGTGTGAGAAAAATCCCACTTAGCTAGCGAGGTTTTAGACATATTTAGGCAGACTGACTGTATTTACCATTTTGAATAAACTGGCTCCTTACACACCATGATCTTTGCAGAAAAACAGCCAAGGCAAGATTAAAAAGTCGCCTAAACAATAACATTCCCATGTTGCTTTGGTAAAACTTAATTTTTGCCAAGACTTGGTCATTTTTGGCTGTTTTCCAGAATTTCCCAGAACAGACTCAAATCATTTAACAGCGTCAGTCCTTTAACTTCATGCTGATGCAACGCTGTTTACATGCAGCGTAAGGTTCGAGTTAGCCTTTGCTTCTCTTTAGGAAAACATTAAGAGAGTTTATGTGAATGTTAAGTTAAGCAGGACATGTGGAGCCTCGTGCTGGTTAATGTTCCAGCTCAGCTGTACCTGATGGTTCCTGTGGGTGAAGGCAGGGGACTCATCATGCTTCTGAAGTCGTTTTCAGGAATGGTGATTTTCAGTGGCGAGATCTGCGGGTACAGGGGTCTCACCGGGGACACGGGCGCCTCCTCCTTCAGCGCCTCTTTGTGGTACAGTGCAGTAAACTGAATCTTTATCACCGTGCTGGGAAAACGAAATGTGCACCTGGTGGGGCAGAAAACGAAACATAAAATGAAATGAAAATAGCATTAATACATATTTTTCATTTACTTGAAATCTAGCCAAGACATGTTCAAGTCAAAGTTTTGTTTTTTTTTAACTGAAGCTACCAAGCTAAAGTAGCTACCAAGCACTGGACGCTTATAGATCCATTGGGTGTTTGAAAACAAAAAGAGATGCGTGCACAACCTGGCTGCAAAAAGACCCGAAGAGTCGCAACCTCACGCTACTTGCTTATAATCTATGAAGAATCTATCAGGAATTTTATTTAGGAATCGGACTGACATTAGCTAAAATGTTTTCCACTTATTATTATGGATTAGCACTAAAAGACAGGGAGTGCTATTCGCTACACTAACACTTTCAAATGCCATAACTGTAGAAGATCCTTATGGCTTGACGTCCTGTCGGTGGCTAAATGATGCTAAGCAGTGGCCGAGCCTGTAATGACCAAACATACAAATGTAATGCTCTTAAATGGCCCAACTGAGCATGCTTTTCACTTACTCAAGACAAAACTGAAGGCAGAAAGCCCCACAAACAAGAAGCAACAGAAGGTGGCTGCAGTAAAGGTCTGGCAAAGCATCTCATGGGAGGAAACTCCGCATTTGTTGATGTCCATGGGTTCCAGACTTCAGGCAGTCATAGACTGCAAAGGATTTGCGTCCAAGTATCAAAACTAATCCTAATATGTATGATTATGTTAGTTTGTCCAATTACTTTTGAGCCTGTGAAAATGGAGGGACTCCAATAAATAGCTGTAATTCCTAAATGGTATGTAATGCAATATTTTTGTTAAACCCCTTGAATTAAAGCTGAAAGTCTACACTTCAATCACATCTTGACTGCTTCATTTCAAATCCACTGTGGTGGTGTACAGAGGCAGAATGGTGAAAATGGTGTCCAAATACTTATGGACCCGCCTGTATATACATATCTCACACAAACTCTGAGCATTTATACTACAGACAAATTAAAAATGCACAACTGAAGGCATCTCTCCATGCTTATGACTTTGTTGCATGAGGGCATGTTCAAGATGTAATGTTTTACGATAACACCATCGAGGACGTCGTGGCCCTGAAAGCCGAGGTGCTGCCCAACAGATCTCACAGAGCAAAACTGAACAAAGTTAACTAGCTAAACGTGTCCATCATAAGCAACTCCTCCGTAAGAACGTGACCTAGCCATCTCGCACTAGTATGCGGTAAAAACAAATGCGTTTATGAACACGTTTCAAATTCTGACACCCAACGGCACAATGCGACATTTCAGAAAGCGATTTCTGATTTGCTGTTAAACATCACTATAGTCTCCTGAGTCTATATTAACAAAAATAATAAACATATCTAATTTTAAACTATATTATCATCTAAATCTGTTCGAACATACAATACAAAGTCTTTCAAGACACTACAAGACGCTGATGCTTGTGCAGAATCATACTGTACCAAACCACGTGATTAGGAAGAAAATAATCCCAGCTTCAAAATGGTTGCTGTTTCAGCTATGTGATATATTTTTGTCCATTTTTATAGACAGTTGTGTCATGTACAACATGACGTGTTTTAGTGTCTGATTATTTAAACATTAGGGCTGGGCAATACGACAGCGATATTATGATAAATGTCGCAATACAATTTTAGGCAGGTATCACAATATCGTTTTATAACGTTTTTAATAAAAAGGTGTTTTTAATAAAAGAGTTACAAACTGATCGGAAGCAGCTGATTAAATGAAGCTTTGAATTTTTGTACTGTTTGGGTTCTTCAAAAAGATTTTGAAAGTTTTGAATCTTTAATGTGTTTTACAGAATTTTTTTTTCAGTGTTTTAATAATTAGTTTAGCAGACATTAAATAAAAGTAAGAACTCCTTGTTTGTTTTTTTTTAAAGTTTTGCAACACTACTGTTTTGCTGGCAGTTAGTTAGCAAACCTATATATCGTGATGCATATTGTGCATCACAGAAATGTCCTTAAGTAGCACAATATGATATCTTTGACATATCACCCACCCATGCAGTGTGTGCGAAGCCAATGTGGTAGCTATAAGCTTCCTTTACATGTCATGAAATAATTAAAATAAACTGGAGCTAGAGCTACTATATTTCAGAGGTAAATTATATAAATTTCATTTTTATCTAAACGAACCTCCATAAGCTTGCAGAAAATGAAGCGTGATCTACGCAATTTAGTAGCGGTGGATTGCCAAATAAAGCATCTGTAGTTGCACAGCAAACGCCAGTGTGTTACAGAGAACATTTCCCTGACAGGCTTTAGTCACACACATGCATGTGATACAAAACAGTGTTTCTGTTAGTACTCTGTAGCCCTTTCATTATGGCATAAATATGTAGCAATATAACTACAATGTTCAGTTTGATATTATACATAGATTCTGCTGCTCAGAAACCAGAGCGCAATCCCTGAAATAGCACTGCCGTAAGTTTCATTTATGACCAGAGCAGCTTTTTGGGAGTTAACACTCCAGGTTCTTTAGAAATGTAATTCTGCACAGGCTGCAAGAAAGCCAAACTGATATCTTAGTCACTTGGACATGTGCGTACATATCTTTTAGACTTCTGAGTGAAAATTTGAAGCTTTGTGCACTTACATTTCAGACTCTTACATCCACAAATGGATTTCAACGAACCAAATAAAAGCATGCATAAAAGCACGATCATGTGCTGACACACATCTGTTGTCCTTTTCCGAAATGACTCCAGGTTCATTACTGCGAGTAATTCCCAAAGTGATTTAAGCCTCTTAAAGTGTGAAATCTGATCATAAGGACGTACATAGTCCAGAAAATTGCAGTTACTAGCAATGTCTGATTTGGGTGCAAGATGAGATACGGGCCTAGTTTTTTTTTTTTTCTCCAGTCCAGGATTTTCCCTGCTGCTTTTAAAGGAAGAGAAATCCCTCTAGTGCAGTTCATCAGTCCAAAAGACGCCTCATTTGTTTTAATGTGTTGAGGTTAACAGGCAATGGAAGCTTATAGCTACCGGTTTTGCATTGTGCAAACCACACGTCTAAATCAACACATAGTGTTCGGCTGGACTGTTTTACTACTGGACTATTTGTACAGAAATTGTTTATTGAAATAAAGCACACCATTAAAATACATGCATCAAACATAAACTATATAATCGCTACTAATAATACAATTCTGCCTTTGAACTTTGAGCACCTCCCACTTCTCCTACCTGGGTGTGATGCTTGGTGAGAGTAATAAAGGATTTTATCAGAAAGTGATTACTCAAGATGGTTGCTATTGTGTTTTTTTTTTCCCACAGCGAATAAATTGCAACACTTCTGAGCTTTACTCTCATTTTCATTTAGTCTCAGATTTTTCTCAGCTGAAAAGTGTAGTATTTGCACACAACAGAAGCGTGTGTTGGGTAACTCTTGTTAACCGCCCACTTTATTAGAAACACATGTACATCTGCTCATTCATGCAGTTATCTTATCAGCCAATCATGTGGCAGCAGCGCAATGTATGAAATCATGCAGATACAGATCAAGAGTTTCAGTTATTATTCACATCAAAATGAGCAAAAATAATAATAATCTCAGTGATTTCGACAGTGGCATGGTTTTTAGCAAGACAGGTTTGAATATTTCAGAAACTCGCTGAATTTGCTTAATTCAAATATGCACATTCTATGTTCTACGTGAATGAATAGGTTCTATGTGAATGAATTGAGTTGCATTAGCAATAAATGATTTGATCATGTATTTTCCAAAACCTGGGATAAAATCAAACACCGCGCAGACACCCGAGCTCAGGCTCGGACCCAGACCCCTGGACTTGTGAGGCGGCAGCGTCACCCACGGTGCCAATGTGCCACACAAGTTACTAAATGAGTCATTTTTTCCTTTCAGTGCCAACATCCTTGCGAGACTTTTATAACATAATCAGATCACATTAATACTACATCAATTGATCATACTCAGTTTACATAATTCAAACTAGTACATTAGATATTGGTTTAAATTGAATTTAGTGTAAGCAATGAAATCACATTTTGATGAGAAACTTAATATTTTTCTGTAAACTATATATAATATTTTACATCCCACACTGAAAACAAAGGGAATATGTG